GAGTCCATAAGGTCACATCATCCAAAAGAGGCATACTCCAGCAGCTGGTGTATTCAAGGTGAACCCCAAGTCTTGACGGCTTTACATCCAGGTAGTAGAGAGCGACATTTTTGTACTCCTTCCAGGTGCAGTTCTTCTCTGGGAAGCAGGAAAAACAGGCAAGACCACAGAACACGGAAGAAGTACAGGCCAGGCAATAACCCTCCTCTCTCTCAACCCACGGGCTTGGCCTACTGACCCCTTTTATATCACAGATGCAGTGGGTCCCACCCAAAGCCAAAAAAACAGGAATAACAGCCTGCCTACATTCCACTTCACAGGCTTGTGAAATCCTATCTTGATACTGTATATTAATTTTTTTGGGAGAAGTCCGCATGTGTTCGGGGACCACCATCTTCTCCCAAACAACTGTTCTGTAAATCTTCGGCCTTGAGCTGTTCAAACGCATAGGGAAAAGTCATCTGGTATCAGGCACTGACGTATTTTTTCATATAACATTGCAGTTGAGCCAAACGGGCAATCCGTGTTTTGTGATTTAGGGACCCTTGTGGCATATAAGCATTGGGTGGCTGAAAGTACTTGTGAAATGAAATAAAATACACCTCTAATATGTGAATCCCCTTCAGAAAGTCACACTTTCTCCCTAGAAAGTAGAATTACTATATTATAACCTATTACCATACCACGTGAATAATCTAAATATAAAATACCCAAATAGTCTCAAAATCAATAAATAAATGAATAAAATAAATTAAATAAAATAATAGGATGTCCAAAGAAAGTCCAAAAAAGTCCACCAAAACAAATAAGAATAAGTCCAGTAGGAAGGATTCCAATCCTATTTTAATCCTCGTGATACCTCGAAAAAAAAAAAAATATAGTGCTTTATCTTTCAAATACTCACTAACAATTGAGTACTGTCCGTGATACTTTTTTTATTTGCACTAACATACAATTTTGAGGACAAGCTTTCGGGGAATGTCCCTTCTTCAGGTCTAAGCAGTACTGAAACAAAGATTTAGCAGAATGTTGGAAGAGATGTAGGGATGGGGAAAAAAAAAAAAAAACAGAGATAAGATAAGGCAAAAACAAGGATGAATTTGCACAGACATACCATCAAGGAACATGAAGAAGATGACTTTGCACACCTGTGGGACACCATTTCGCACAACCAGGACCACATTATGGAAGACCTCAATGTTTTAGTTCTTAAAGGAAATTTCAAATCCATTCAGGAAAGAAAAACTTTTGAACTAAGAATGATAATTCTATTTGACCCAAAGATAACGACGGTCTGAATTTGAACATGGGATTCCTCACTCATTATCCAACAGTTTTATGACTATCAGCTCAAGCATGACTGCCTCTGCTAGTGTTGTCTCTCCCCCCCCCCCCCCCCCCCCCCCCCCAGACTTTGCTTTTGCTGTATCTTATCTGTTTTTTTGTTTTTTTTTTTTCCCATCCCCTAAATCTCTTCCAACATTCTGCTAAATCTTTGTTTCAGTACTGCTTAGACCTGAAGAAGGGGACACACTCCCCGAAAGCTTGTCCTCAAAATTGTATGTTAGTGCAAATAAAAAAAGTACCACGGACAGTACTCAATTGCTCCTGTCGCAAATGCACTAATACAGCTACAATCACGTCAAGCAAATACTCACTAACAATCTACAGTGTAAAATTAAATCCGTACAAAATCCAAACCACTCCACTGTGATTACTAGTGATAATGCAAGAGAGAGAGAGAAAAAAAAATATAATATATATATATATATATATATACACACATAAATATATCAAATAAATATACTGAAAATTGTGAACCAAAATCAAATCTTCAAGTGAGCACTTCAATAAATTAGTGAACACTCAGTGACCACTTCAATTCATACAGTGGACACTCCAAATAGTGATATTAAATACCATTACCCTCTGGTAGTATTCATAAACGTATCCGATATTCCTGGTAACAGTGTTGCTTCCAAATTTTCCTTCATTCCCATCCTCCATAATCCTCATAAAGTTAAAAAAAGGCTCTTATAATAGATTTCCGAGCGTAGGGATAAATTTAATAAAGACATACATTGGGGTTATTGGAATCCTTCCTGCTGGACCTATTCTTATTTGTTTTGGTGGACTTTTTTGGACTTTATTTGGACATCCTATTTATTTTATGTGTTTAATTTATTTTATTCATTTACTTATTGATTTTCAAAATATTTGGGTATTTTATATTTAAATTATTCACGTGGTATGGTGATAGGTTATAATATGGTGAAAGTACTTGTACCCCATGCGCTCTATTAAAGCTCAAGTGGCTGCTGGTGATATCCATGGCAAAGGGGATGTTGATGAGGAATCTCAGGTTCTAAGGATAGTGGCAACGTGTCATTCTGATCAAAGATCAGTTAACAACAAGTAGGGTCTCCTGAGGCGGTTTGTATTCCGGAAGGGGTGACAGAGCAATGTCCGGTGGCGGCAAGTCCAGGAGAGAGCCTGAGCTGTCCAGTCCATCCTTCTCATCCCGAAGTCCACAGGAGAGAAGGAGGAGAAGAAAATTCTTCACAGAGGACCTCCTCAGGACAGTGTTCTGTAGCAGAGGGGAGGGATAGCAGGTTAACCCAGGACTTATTGGGGTAGGCCATCCCGGTCACTGGACTGGATCCAAGTCTCAGTATTTTGGCTGGAGGCTCGAGGGTATCGTCTTCTCCAGTGGCAGGGGCAGACTCAGGCAGATTGTCTGCAGGTTTGGAACACCTGAATTCAATGATTTGGAGGGTTGTCTCAATACTTGGCAATATAGTGTATGCTAGGTACCTTGCACAGGGTCACTCTAATTCACACACAAGGGGTATCTTTACTCTGTTCCATTTTCACCAATGCCCTGGGACAAGGCTGAGGTTGCCTTCAGGGAAAACATGCACCATGTAGATTTGCACAACTGTTCTCCAGTTAACTCTCAGGTCCCCATGTCAATGCACATCTTCTCACTATAGCTTGCAATTAGGCGGGCCATGCCAAACACTGATCACAGCCACCTCTTCAGCGTTCCCCACTACCAGTCCTAGCATGGAACCCCGCAGTACAAATAGCGCAGTCTCCACTGTGCACTTGACATTTAGCCACTGTACCTCAAAACAGGATGGGGAAACTGAATGTGGCATAAGGAGTGCTGACAACATTTCCCTCAAAGCTAGAGGAAATTCCACCTATAACAGGCACACGTGACAACAGGCTGCTTGGTGACTGTACCTTTTGTTGCTCATGGCAACTACAAGTATAACTTGCACTACAATGACTCTTAACATTATAACTCTTCATACCACGTGGCAGTGACCCAAACTGTAAACTAAGTGTGTGATAGTGCCCGATACTTGCATTACACCCCTTTGAGTAACTTCAGACCAGGCAGGTGACGTTTCAAAGACTTTACTTAGACAAAGTCCAAATACAGACTGAACAGTCAAACAAGAACTCCAATAGAACAGCAATTTTTCCTAAATCCCTAGTCCCTAAACCTAACCAAGCTATGTGCTGCCCCGGGATACCTGCAAAAATAGTTCATGAGGTCACAACATCCAAAAGAGGCATATTCCAGCAGCTGGTATATTCAGGGCAAACCCAAAAGTCTTGACAGCTTTACATCCAGATAGTAGAGAGCAACATTCTTGTACTGCCCCTGGGTGCAGTTCTTGGGGAACCAGGAATATGGACATGACCGTGGAACACAGAAGATGTATGGCTGGGCAATCAATCCTCTCTCTTGACCCCTGGACTCGGCCCACTGACCACTGTAATAGCACAGGTGCAGTGGGTTGGGCCCGAAGATCCCGCCAAAAGCCAAAGAACTTGGAAGAACACTAACCCCTACCCTCCTGTCCGGGACAGAACCTATCCAGTCAATTTCAACCTGACTACTATCTAAATAGATGGAGCTCACACAGCAGAATGAGTTGCAGGAATGGCTTACCCCCCCCCCCTCCCCTTGTCTTCCAACTACCTAGCAGAATGAGTCGCAGGAATGGCTTACCCCCCCTCCCCTTGTCTTCCAACTACCTAGCAGAATGAGTCGCAGGAATGGCTTACCCCCCTCCCTTTGTCTTCCAACTACCTACAGCTCTGCCTGGCAATTTAAATTAGAGAAAGGCAGTGTGAAAGGGAACAGCTACTACAGACCAATAGTGTTCTGCAAAATCTGTATCTAGGCTTTACACCATATAATTTGATTTTTGTAAAGTGCTATATTTGTTGATGCTATAGATGACTCCTGTATCATATAAATAATATGTTTGGTAAATATTTTTTTGAAAATGGTAGAAAAAAAATATATACTGTACACTAATGCACTGGGGAAAAACTGTCTCCGTAGGGAGGGTCACCACTGGCACACGCTGCGCACTCTGCTCAACAAGAGAATGCTGAAGCCTGCCGAGGCCGTTCTGTACACCGGAGCCATCAATGAGGTGGTAACCGACTTCATAAACTCACTGGATGTCTTGAGGAAAGAGACTCCCTCTGGAGACATGGTGAATGACATCTCCAATGTCTTCTATCGATTTGCATTTGAAGGTGAGACAGCTTAGGCAGCGGCATAGTGTAAGTTACCAGCACTCGAGGCAAAGCAAGTATTGTGCCCCCAGTGTGCTCCAGCACTTAGTAAATGAGGTAAAGCTTCTCTTTGCAAGAATACCCAATCACGTGCAAGGAAAATATACGAAAAAAACCTGTATTTTGCTGGCACGTGGTTGATGATGGAAGTCAACAGAGATTCTGCTAATTTACTAATCCCTGGAGCAACTTTTCAAAAGTGCACAGTCTATTCGCCTTTGGTAAATCAATCCCATAGTAGGAAAATCTATGCCTTACCGGAGTTCCCGTGTGCCTGGCTCTCTCATCCACTCCATGCACCCTTCTAAGTGAGCAGCTGCCACTCTATACCGCACCACTCATTGTGCCCCAAAATTTATATATCCCCCCCCCCCCATTATGCACCCCTAATCTCTCCACCCCCATATCATGCACTCCAAATCCATATAACCCCAATTCTCTCTCAAGGATCATTGGTAGTTGGAGGAGGTGCAAGGGTTCTGGAAAGGAGAGAAAAAAGATCAGAGTCTTCCTCAACTGCACCAAGGAGCACATTGGCACACACTTAGCGGAAGCATGCTGCTCGTTCTTCTCAATTCTACCAACTCCAACCTAGAACTGCCCAGCCGGACCCACCCAGACAGTGTAGAAGGGAAAGAGAGGAGGGAGTGCACTGCTTACAGGACCAGGACAGGAGCGCACACAGACCGTTCTCCCGTCTCACCCCAAATTCTTACTAATTTTGCTCCTCTACAAAATCTTGCTCCCAGGGAAATCTCTCCTGTGGCCCTGCCCAATCCACACCACTGGCTGTAAGTAAAAAATGGGGTCACACAGATGACCACATAGAAAGCATGCAAAAAATCTCCCCAGCAGAGACCGACATTGATAAAAATTCAGCAGAGGTTGCAACTCTTTGCTACAGTTTGTAGAGCAAAATCTGAATGGCGGTCATTTCAATGTCTCACTCCTTCAATGAAGAGCTAATGCTAAAGCCTGCTGGAGATTTAAAACAGAAGCGGTAAAGGAAAAGAGTTGTGAAGGAGCGACTTTCCATAGTGAGATTTGGGGTCTAGTCATATTTGCTATCCTTTGCACTTCCTATAGTTTTGCCTCATCTCAAGCCCTCAAAATTTCTGCCCATATGATGCACCCCTGTATTTAAATCTCCATATCTCTGTCTTCTGCTTCTCTTCCAGGAATTTCCTACATTTTATTTGAGACACGAATTGGCTGTCTAGAGAAGAAAATTCCCCCGGAGTCTCAAAAATTTATCGATTCCATTGGAGCCATGTTGAAATACTCGATATATGTGAGCATTCTTCCAGCCTGGACCCATAATAAGCTCCCTTATTACAGATTGTACCTAGAGAACTGGGACAACATTTTTAATTTTGGTGAGTTTGAATGTGGATAAAAAAAGATTTAAAGAAAGCAAAAAGTAATGTGGTATGTGCAGGGACCCAATCAGAAAGAGGCATTCATCAGTCTGCTGCCATGGATGAATGGATGACTGTTGTCATAGGTTTCTGCTATTTACGCTTTTTTTTTCTTTTTAGACATAAAACCTGTCTTTTCTGTTGAAGGATAAGTAAACCCGATTGCTAAAATCTCATTTAATATGATATTTAATACTTTATTTCAGATTTAATATTAAAGTGGAACTCCACCCAAAAGGGGAAGTTCTGCGTATGTGCACACACCCTCCTCTTTACCATTTGGCACTTTTTGGGAGGGAGGGAGAAGCGGCAACCTGGTTTCCCCCCCCCCCCCCCCCCCCCTTTTTGCTGCAGCCTTCAGGGACATATCACAGGTCCCAGAAGACTGCGGGACCATTCGCAAAGTGCATCGCGGATCGCATATGCGCAGTGGGAAACTAGCTGGGAAGCTGCAAGGTTTCCCTTAGTTAAGATACCAACTTCTGGACCTGAAGTTGATTGAAGAATCAGCTATGGTGGGGACAGCGCTGGATCCCTGGACAGGTGAGTGTCCTTATATTAAAAGTCAGCAGCTACAGTATTTGTACCCGCTGACTTTTTATCTTTTTGGGCTGCAGACTGGAGCTCTACTTTAATGTTTAATATGTTAATGTCATTTCAAAAGTAATTTTCAATATCTTTAAATCTGCAGCTTTGATTAAAATAATCCCTGGTGATCCTGCCATGAAGGTCCTCTTTTAAGCAATTCCTGTTATAGGGTGACAACATTCTGCTACCATCTCCAAGTTTTGTTCCTGCATTGTCACCCTGTCACAAGGGCTTCTGATAAGGACTACAAGTGACCATTCTAACATACGTTACGCAGCCATGATCTACTGTCAATGTCAAAAACCATACAGCCATTGCTGAATCCATGTAGATAAGAAATGGCAGCAAAAGAGAGTTTATATTAAAAGGTGGATATCAAGATGTATCAATAGGATCATAAAATCGATCATTCAATATGACAAAATTACCAAATTTAAATGAAAATCCCACAGCACAGATTTATCATTCGATCTATCTAGTGCGCTCTCAAACAATTTAGACTCTGCCAAAGATGAAAGACTGTGGCAGAATTTTGTTGATTGCTTCTTATCAACTGAACAAGTGTTTGCGTGTTTTGTGAAAACCGATTGCAATTCAGATCAATTTAAGTGATCGTATGTAATTGTTCACATTTTCAAATGCTAGATCGTATTTGTGATTGATATTTTCGGTCAATTGCAAGATTTAGAACAATATTAGTTATAGGTGTTGCATAGCTTGATATTTTACTTGATGATAGATTGTTTGGAATCTCTCACATCTACATTGATCACAGATCTTTATGTGTATAGCCCACCTTAAAGTGGAGTTCCACTCACTCTGTAAAAAAATAAAAGTCAGCAGCTACAAAAACTGTAGCTGCTGACTTTTAAAAAAACAGCAACTCATTCCATGATCCCGTGTTGCCCCCGCCGCAGCCATTTCATCGGCCGTCCTATATTCCAAGTGCCGGCATCTTCAGTGTGGGCACCCGGCTTGCGGCTTCACAGCCGGGTGCCCACTGCGCATGCGCGAGTAGCGCTGCGCTTCCTGAATGGCCCCGTCGTCTTCTGGGACCTGTCATGTGTCCCACAAGACTTCGAGGAGGGAGGGTAGGAGGACAACTTCCGCAGCAGAAGTGGGAGCGGGTACCTGTCAAATTCGGGTACCCGTTCACCCCCCGCTCCCCAAAGGTGCCAATCCTTAACCAGCTGCCGACCGCAGATAGCCGAATGATGGCTTCACTGCGGCCGGCCAGTTCTGAGTGGATGTCATATGACGTCCTCCCAGAACGCGCTCTCCTGCGCGCCCCAGGGGGCGTGCACCCGGCGATCTCCGTGATCGCTGTGTCCTACGGACACAGCTGATCACGTGATGTGGTAAAAGGCCAATCACAGCGGCCTTTTACCACCTGATCAGCGGTGTCCAATGACACGCTGATCAGAAGGAAATGCAAGTGCCGGTTCTCGGCTGCACTTTCCTCACGCTGTCAGATCGTGGGGAAAGTACTGCCGAGAACCGGCAGTTGTTAGAGCGGGGATCGGCACCGATCATCAGGGCACTGATGATCGGTGCCCTGATGATCGGTGCCCAGCAGTGCCACCCGCAAGTTCTGCCCAGCAGAACTTGCGGGTGGCTCCGCCCACCCATGCCCATCAGTGCACCCACCTGTGCCAAGCAGTGCACCCACCTGTGTCACTCTGCAGTGCCACCTACCTGTGCCCAGAAGTGCCACCCACCTGTGCCCACCAGTGCCACCCACCTGTGCCCACCCACCCAGCAGAACTTGCCCCACTAGCTCCGCCCACCCATGCCCATCAGTGCACCCACCTGTGCCCACAGTGCACCCACCTGTGCTGCCCCACCACCTGTGCCCAGAAGTGCCACCCACCTGTGCCCACCCACCAGTGCTGCCCACCAGTCAGCCCACCAGTGCTGCCAGTCAGTGCCCAGGGGTTGTGCCAGTCAGTGCCGCCAGTCAGTGCCCAGCAGTGATGCCAGTCAGTGCCGTCTATCAGTACCCATCATCAGTGTCACCTATCAGTGCCGCCTATCAGTGCTGCATATTAGTGCCGCCTATCCGTGACCCCTAATTAGTGCTGCCTATCAGTGCCGCCTATCCGTGCCACCTCATTAGTACTGCCTATCAGTGCCCTTTAGTGCTGCCTATCAGTGCCCATCAGTGCCGCCTATCAGTGCCCATCAGTGCTGCCTCATCAACGCACATCAGTGAAGGAGAAAAAATACCTGTTTGAAAAATTTTATAAAAGAAACAAATAAACTTTTTTTTTTTTTTCAAATTTTTTGCAATTTTTTTATTTATAGCGCAAAAAGTAAAGCGCCCAGTGGCGATTAAATACCACCAAAAGAAAGCTCTATTTGTGAGAAAAAAATGATCAAAATTTCATATAGGTACAATGTTGCATGACCGCGCAATTGTCAATCAAAGTGCGGCAGCACTGAAAGCTGAAAATTGGCCTGGTAAGGAAGGGGGTATAAGTGCCTGGTAGGCAAGTGGTTAATGGGGAGCGGTGACCAATCTTTAAAGCGGAACTTCCCCTTTTGGGTGGAACTCCACTTTAAGTCTTACAGAAACATTCATGATGTTGCAGTGGCAAGATTCTTGTTCTCGCATACGCATATTCATTTTCTCTCTCATCTCTATCCCTCCCCTTTCATCTTTTTTTTTCTCTCTCTCTCTACTCTTTTCTTTCTCTCCCTTCTATCCAGTTTCTTTCTATTCTCTCTCTTCTCTCTTTCCAGTTTCTTCTATCTGTCTCTATTCACTCTCTCTCTCCCTCCCCTCTCTCTCTCCCTTCCTTTTTCCTCTTTTCTCCCTCTATCTTTCTACTCTCTTTCTCCCTCCCTTCTCTCTCTAATCTTCTATCTCTCTCCCTCCCCTTTCATCTCTCTGCACTTTTTTTTTTCTGTCTCACTCTTTTATTTCTCTCCCTCACTATTCATTTTCTTCTATCTGCCCTCCTGCCCCCCCCCCCCCCTTCTCCTCTAGAATCTCTGCTTTCTCTCTTCTCTCTTTCTACTTTCTTCTATTTTCTCCCCTTCCCTCTCTCACTCCACTGTCTTCTCTCTCCCTCCCTCTATTTCAGATCTTTTTTTTCTCTCTCTCTACTCTCATCTCTTTCTTTCCCCCCTCTCTCTATCCCTTTCTTCCACTCTTATTTCTTCCTCTCCTTTCCTATCTCCCTCTCTTCCCTCTGTTTCCCCTTTCCTCTTTCTCTCCACTCTTCACTCTCTTTGTCCACACTCCCTCTCTCTTTCTCTCCTTCTGCTTTCTCATTGTTCAGACTATGCAGAGCTGGCTTTTCACATGAATGATGAATTACAGAGATTAGTGTGTAATCAGATGGTCTTTTGCGGCTCAGTGGCAGCCTCTTTTGATTAAATCCATAGGAATCAAGTTGATTGAGCAGAAGATGGAGAAGATACAAGCTCGCTTGGACCGTGGGGAGGAGGTACAGGGGGAGTACCTCACTTATCTGCTGTCCAGTGGAAAACTGACCAAACAGGAGGTGAACGGCAGTGTGTGCGAGCTGCTTTTGGCTGGAGTGGACACGGTATTTACATCCTATAATGTTCAGAGTTCTTCCATTTGCTATAATATTTCAAACAATTCTGTTTCGTAGTGTTGCACGGTGGTTGTGCTTTACTGTTCTTGTGTATACATGCAAACCTATACATCTACTCACACAGTTCAGGCAACGTAGTCTCAAAGTTTTATCCTGTAATCTCATAAGTTGTTTATTCATCACTGATGCTCAACATCATGCTGATAGACAGTTATAAGAGGGAACTTTTTCAAATCTATATTTCTTGAATATTGTCATGAATCCACAAAACTTGTAAAAACATCACAGCAATGGTTCAGAACATGTACTCACCAAAAGTACTCTATAGTTTCCATTTCCACAAAGCCTAAAGTGATAGGGATGGTAATGATGAATCCTTTGACTCTGTTCCTTGCTCCTCATCCGAGCTGCAATAATAAAAAAAAAAAGCATCTTATCAGTCAGTTTATAACCAGCAGAAGGAAGGTGCCAATAAGTGGACAAGTAACTGCCAATGTGTGCTGAAAACATTTCCTGGAATTTAGTTCAGATAGTGTGCCAGTCAAAAAGGACATACCCTGAATGGCAAGTTACTTTTTCCCCTGTGAAATTTACTCCAAGTAATTGGTCAATCTTGACTATGTCGCACGATATCCTGAGGCAATTCCATTGAAGAATATCTTGTCCAAAGCTATAGCCTTTAACTTATTTCAAATGTTTACTCGAAAGCATTTTCCCAAGGAAATCCTCGCTGACCAGGACACTCTGTTTTTATGTCAACAGTAATGGCAGATGTGTGCCAACGGCCACTATTCAATACTCCTACTACTCGACCTCTCCGCAGCTTTTGACATGGTTGACCATCCCCTCCTCCTCAAAAAACTACACTCTTTCGGCCTCAGCGACTCCGCTCTCTCCTGGTTCTCCTCCTATCTATCGCAGCGCTCCTCCAGTGTTATCTATAACGCTGCCACCTCCTCCTCACTCCCTCTCTCTCTAGGGGTCCCCCAAGGTTCTGTCCTTGGACCCCTTGTCTTCTCCATCTACACCTCCTCCCTTGGTCACTTGATAAACTCCCACGGCTTCAACTACCATCTCTATGCTGATGACATGCAAATCTATCTGTTTACCCCTCGCCTCACCCCTTCAGTCTCCGCCCGAATCACTAGACTACTGAACGGCTTGGATGTCACTCAACCTTTCCAAAACTGAGCTGCTAGTATTCCCCCCAGCCCGCGCCACCCCCACTGACTTCACCATAAATATCGCTAACACCATCCTCTCATGCCAGGGTACTAGGTGTAATCCTAGACTCCCATCTGTCCTTCCAGCCCCAGATCCAATCACTGACAAAATCCTGTAGACTTCACCTCCGCAACATCTCCAAGATACGACTGTTCCTAACCTCGGAAACCACTAAGCAACTTATTCACTCCCTTGTCATATCACGCCTCGACTACTGTAACTTTGTTTTGGAGTATTTGACCTCGGTGCAGGAAAGGATTGAAAAGGTGATGCATTTGGTTAAGGAACATCTGTATCGTGCCCAGGGGGCACCAGCAGCGGCGTATTTACCATGAGGCAAACAAGGCGTTTGCCTGGGGCACAATTTCAGACGGGGATGGCACCACCCCTTTGCTGTTATGAGAGCGGGTTCCCAAACAAGCTCATGCGAGCTCCCTGCTTCCACTGCTCCTGCCCCTGCACTCCGGGGCGATTCACCTGTCCTCAGAAAAAAATTGCAAGTTATCCCCTCTGTTGGAGTTGAGGAGAACCCGTCACATCCTTCATGCCTTAGCAGCATTCTCTGCCCTGTTCTCTCCCCCTGGAGCCACTCTTCGGCATCTCTGGCACAGCTGGGGGCATGCACAGGGCAGTGCCTGGAGAAGGAGATCACAGGCTGGGGAGGTTGCTATCAGGTCAGGGAAAGTGGGCACACACGGCTGTGTGCGCATGAGGGAGGTCAGGTATGCTGGTGGGGGTTACCCGATTTTACTGTTTCCTATGGCAGCACAAGAGATAAATACACCACTGGGCTCAAGTCCAAGTCTATAATCGTTCAGCGAAAGTTATACACTTTCACCTGGGGTACCAAGTGGCAGTACTGATACCACTGGAGAGAGGAAGTTACTAGGTAGATGGAAAAACTATTCTGAGGTTATCAAAAAAGTTGGAGGGGTGAAATAGAAAATTCATGAGTAGAACCCATTCTGGCTCTATACCGTGCGAATCATTGAGCAAAAGAAAACCATTCTGGCTATATCATGCGAATCTGCTGAAGCCTTGGAGAGACGGGGAACCAGTGACTACCTTGGTAGGTGCAAGACTTGAGCCTCATATTGGTGTGAGTGTTATTTATCTTGTGAAAACATTAAACCTGACAAGAAAAAGAATTCCTGCAGAAAATACGTTTTTTTCTGGCCTATTTAGTCTTGCTGACCTCATAGTTTTGATCTAATCATTGAGCCAAGTGCCAGGGTTTGTTAGGCCTTATCACATTCCTGAGGTTCAAAGAAAGGCGGTCTCAGAAAAAGTAAGCAAAATGTTGGCATTGGCGATCATTGAGGAACTGCAGGGTGAGTAGTAAAGCCCCATATTATGAGTTCCAAACCCACTGAAATGCTGCCATTCTGCAATTATTTTTGGAAACCTAATGAAAATTTAAAACATTTGTCACTTATCCCATGCCCCAACTGGACGAGCTCATTGAAAGACTAGGCTCAACCCCAGAGCTCATTGAAAGACTAGGCTCAACTTACATTATCACTTTGGACCATAACCAAGGCCACCATCCTTCCAATACTGAAGAATGCCTTTGGGCCTTCAGAGAACTACAGCCATATTCCAATGGGCAAATGAAAAGTTATTACACTCCCAGTGATGGTACACCTCTGTTTACTTAGATGACATTGACATATTTATAGGGGACTATGGTTCTCACCTGCCAAAAGTATGTATGTGTGTGTGTAATTGTAGTATATAATGTGTGTAATTGTAGTATATAATAGTATATTATTCTCTGGAATGTTGAAAAGAGAAAAGGGACAGTAAACCATTGGAATGTGTTGATTGTCTGTCTGTTTAGTGGTAAATTCATTCTTTGGCTTTGTAAGTTGTTGCGCAATCACCAACTGATATGGCAGATTGGTTGATGAACCTTGGTTGTCCTCTCTGTGTAATATTATCTTTGTGTTTTATGTCCTCAGACATCTAATACCCTCTCCTGGGCACTGTACCACCTTGCCAGGGACCCAGAGATCCAAAAATCCCTTTATCAGGAGGTGAACAATATTGTCCCGGGTGACAGCATACCCACCGCCGAAGATATCGCCAAGATGCCACTGCTGAAAGCTGTGATTAAGGAAGCACTCCGGTACTTTTCATTTATATCCAATCCCCATTTGTTCCAGTGTCAGTCCAAAACGCCAACATTCATTTTTGGGGTAGAGTCTTTTTTTTTTTTAATATAATTTAAATATTTATTCATTTTTCATTTAAAAACAATACACATTTCCATAATTTGAAAATATAATATTACAATTTCTCATAAAGCACTGGTTTCGTATCATTTTCATTTTCTCCCCATAGCTCCCTTAATCCATTACCCGCCCACCTCCCACCCCACTACTATATACCCCTGACATCTGACTGATTAACTTGTATCTCATATTCTCTGGATACCTAGGTTTGAGAGCAAAAGAAAGAGAAAGAAAGAGAGGCTAATTACTATATTTTCTCCTTTTTCCTGATCCTTTCCTCTTTTCTCTTCGTTTCTTCTTGTCCTCTCTTTCCCTTTTCTTTATGCTTACTTACTCAGTACCTTTCTTTACCTTTACTTTGAACTCCTCCCATTTCTCCCATTTCATATGATATGTCACCATCCTATCTTCCTGTAGATAATAGAGTTTTTTCCAATCTAGCAATCTGATCTACTCTATTCATCCAATCTTTTTCACTCGGTGCTTCAACTTTACGCCAAAACTTAGGAATCAGACTTTTTGCTGCATTTAGGTAGCCCAGTATACCCAGTTCTTTATATTTATTTCCAGATAGTATTGAGTTATGGAAAAGACAGATTTCAGGATCCAATCCTATCTCCATTCCAGTGACAATTGTGATTTGGTTTGTAACTTTTTCCCAATATATGTGTATTTTTGGACATTCCCACCATATGTGATACATCGTGCCCAACCCTCCACATCCTCGCCAACACCAGGGTTGCTTCTCCTCCCTCATTTTGTGCTCTATCACCGGTGTAACATACCACCTTGTCAAACATTTAAAATTCATTTCCACTTCACGCATACTAATATTTTCGTGTACCATTCTATGTATTTTCCTCTGTGTGTGCTCTTCCCACTCCACTCCTAAATCCTTTTCCCATTTTTCTATATACTTTAATTTAAACTTACTATCTAAATCCGTGAGAGCTTTATATGCTTTGGCAGTGCTGTGTTTCCCATCACCTCTATCTTATAAGTATTTCTCAAATTCATTCCACTCTTTCCTAGTTCTAAGGGGCTTCGTCAATTTCTCCACAAATTGTTTTAATTGATTATATCTCCATATATCTATCCCAGTGAAAATCCTTCCCTTCTTCCTTTTTCAAATCCTCCAGTGTTCTTAAGTTTACCCCCTCCATTACATCTCTCAACTGAGCGTCTTCCTTCATAATCCATCTACCTGAGATTTCCTCTTTACCTGGGGGAAAAAAAATCTGAATTTCTTAGTGACATTAATAATGAATTAAAATCCCATTTCCTCTGTTTGTGCATTTTATCCCATTCCCTTATTACAATCCTCATGTATACAGTCCTCTAATTCTGCTCTCCTCTAATTCTCTAATTGTGGTGGCTCCCATACACTCCTACCTAAATCCTTTCTACTAAGTGTATTTTCAATTGTGACCCAATGTTTACTCTTTGAGTTGTGTGTCCAGTCAAAAATTCTCGCTAGAATGACTGCCCTATGGTATCTTTTAAAATCCGGGACTCCCAACCCTCCTTTTTCTTTATTTCTGCTTAGCACTTCATATGATATCCTAGGTTTTTTATTTTTTTTCCATATATATTTAGTTACCATTCGCTTAATTGTCCTAAAATACACTTCTGGAAGATTAATGGGTATCATCTGGAATTTATACAGTATCTTAGGGAGAATTACCATTTTTATCAGATTAATACGGCCCAACCAGGAAGGATTTCCTCCACCCATTTTCCTCAATTCCTCTCTGATTTCATTTAACATTGGGATATAATTAGCTTTATAAAGATTCTTCTGTGAGGGAGTGAGTTTTACCCCCAGGTACTTTATTTCTCTATTTTTCCATATAAAGGGAAACTCTCTCTGTATATTTTCTTTTTTCACTTTTTGGAAGGTTTATATTTAATATCTCTGTTTTGCTCGGGTTGATTTTTAAATTTGACATTTCCCCATATTCCTTCAGTGTTTTCATTAGGTTAGGAAGTGTTATCCTCGGGTTTCCAACATAGAATAATAAATCGTCCGCAAATGCGGCTATCTTATGTTCTGTCTTTCCAACATTTATTCCCTTTATATCTATATTTTTCCTAATTGTTGATAACAGGGGTTCCAGTGATAAAACAAACAACAGTGGGGACAGTGGGCATCCCTGTCTGGTTCCATTTGACATTGAAAAGGTCTCTGATCTCTCTCCGTTTACCATTACCATCGCAGACGGTCCTTCATACAGCTTTCCAATCCACTTTCTCATCCTACTACCCAATCCCAGGACCTCCAGTGTATCCATCATAAAACTCCAGTTAACCCTATCGAACGCCTTCTCCGCATCTATCGAGAGCAGCACTACTGGATTTTTTTCCATTTTACTCTTCTGTATAAGCATCAGGGACCTCAACCCATTATCTCGACCCTCTCTTCCTCTAACAAAACCCACCTGGTCTCCATGTATCCAATCTGGCATCAGATCTCTTAACCTATTCGCCAATACTTTTGCATACAACTTCGTGTCTACATTCAATAACGATATCGGTCTATAACTTGCACAATGGGTGATATCTTTACCTTCCTTATGTATTAAGACCACCTGTGCCAGAAGGGATTCCTTTCTTATTTCCATCTCTCCCCCCAACGCCTCCATATATCTCTTTAATTTGGGTAGCAGTAAATCACTGTATTTTTTATAATACCTCACAGTATATCCATCTGGGCCTGGGCTTTTTCCCCGTCTTAAAGCTTTTTAATGCTATTTTTAGTTCTTCCTCCTGCGTGATTTCGGATTCTAAGGAGTTTAATAGTTCTTCACTTAATTTTGGTAATCCTGCATTTCTTAAATAATCCCTTCTTTTGTCAATATTTGTCATTTTATCTTTATTTATAACATCCTTAGGGGCAATATTATATAATTTACTGTAGTAATTTTTAAATACCTTTGCAATATCTTTAGTTGAATGGACTAACTCTCCCTTGGAGTTTTTTATTTTATCTATATAGTTCCTATTCTTCTTTCTCCTCAAGGCTCTCATCAGATATTTTCCTGGTCTATCTCCCCATCTATATCTTTCACCAATGATCTTATTAAAAGTTCTCATTTTTTCTTCCTCTATTACTTTCTCTAGTTCTTCCCTCTTTTTTATCACTCTTTGCTCTATCTCTTTCCTTATGTTATTTTTATGTAGGAGTTCCATCTCAGCTATTTCCTTCAAAAGTTTTGGGTAGAGTCTAGCTGGATGGTTTCCTACATCTCCCAAGCTACTCACTCCTAGTTTCCACCTTCATCTTCACCTGTGTGTAGAGGGGCAGTGAAGAGGGTATGATGGTGGCGGGAGCAATATGTGTAGGAAAGAGTGCAGAGGGTATCATGGGGTGGAATATGGGTAGAAAAGAAGTGCAGAGGGTATGTCAGTGGGGAAAAATGTTCAAAGAGCAGGGTGGCGGATATGACAGTAGGCAGTGTGCCAGCCGTGGAGGATATCTGTGAGGTGAGAAGGGGTATCTCTGTCTACTGGATGGGGCTGTGAGATGTCTGAGGGAAGATATCTACAAGTATGAGGTGGCCTGAGGGGAGATGTCTATTGACATAAGGCAGTTTGGGGGTGTCTGGCAATTTGAGGAGAGGTGTCTGTTAGCAGGGGGTGTGAGTGGGCCTAGAGGAGATGTCTGTTAGCAGGAGGCATAAGGCGGTAGAGGGAATGCTAAGAACCAGTAAACACAAATGCTCCTGCGCTTGGGGATGGACTCGATGCAGGCTACAACCACATTAAGAATGTCCTGGAACATGCACACCTTGCTGCCCTTAATAGACCGGGGAAATCCAAATACACTGAATGAGGAAAGAATGAACAGAGGGCGCACAAGCCTAGTGCATTACCATAAAAATGTTTAATAAGAAATAAAAGTGGGTGTTGTACTCACAAACGACAATAAAGTCAAGGCATATCATAAAAGAAAAGCTGGGTTAACACCGCGCTGAGTAACAGTCCGCAATAGGGAGTGTAGACATCCATCACTAACGCGTTTCGAGGACTTGCCTCTTCCTCAGAGCCACTGCCTTGACTTTATTGTTTGTGAGTACAACACCTACTTTATATTTCTTATTAAACTTTTTTTATGGTAATGCACTAGGCCTGTGCGCCTTCTGTTTATTCTTTCCTGACTCGGTAGAGGGAATGCTGTCTGTCAGCTGGGGGTGTAAGGCAACCTAGGAAGCTGCAAGCTGTCACAACCGGGTGCCCACACTGAAGATGCCAGCGCCTGGAATACAGGAGGGCCGGTGAAATGGCTGCGGCGGGGGCATCGTGGCTGTTTTTTAAAAGTCAGCGGCTACAGTTTTTGCAGCTGCTAACTCTTATTTTTTTACAGAGTGAGTGGAACTCCGCTTTAAGCTCCTACCACTTCCCCAATATCTTTCAGATGATTTAAAATCATACCATCTACTCACTTCTCTTAATTTTTCCATTTTCTCCTCATCCATATTTTATAACTCCTCCATCTTATATATGTTTTCGACTCTCTTTATCCACTCCTTTTATTTTGGTGACTCTTGGGCTAACCAATATTTAGGGATAAGACTTTTGGCCGCACTAATTAGATGACATAATACACTATTTTTGTATTGCTTCACAGAAATCTCAGTGTTATAAAAATATACATGCCCACGGGTCCCTCTGTACAATTGTCCCCGATATCTCCTCTACAGGTGAAACTCGACAAATTAGAATATGGTGCAAAAGTTAATTTATTTCAGTAATGCAACTTAAAAGCTGAAACTAATATATGAGATAGACTCATTACATGCAAAGCAAGATAGTTCAAGCCGTGATTTGTCATCATTGTGATGATTATGGCTTACAGCTCATGAAAACCCCAAATCCACAATCTCAGAAAATGGGA